TCTCTAAGTCCTCGTTACTATCACTAACATCTGAAGCTCTACACCTCCTGTTCTAATATGCAGTTGAATTAGCATATATTTTGGAAGAGAGATTTTAGCTGGAATATCAACTGGGGAATTGTCAACTTAGAGAAAGTATTGCAAGTCACAAAATTGATGAGATTGCTAAGGGAGTTATTTTAGCAGAGAAGTGACCCCAGAGACTGAGCTTACCCCACCCACCTTGAGTTTGGAGGTACAAAGATGAAGCAGTAGATTTACAAGCAGTCTGTGGGGTAAAATAACATCAAGAGGGCATGTTATCATTGAGTCCAAGTCAAGAAAGTGTTTCAAGAAGGACAGAGTCATAAAATACATTAAATGCTGCTGAACAGCCAAATAAAATACAACTTTCCACTGGAGTGAACTAGTGACCTTGAAAAGAATTTTGTTGGGGTGCTGGGGACTTAAGTAGGTTAAAGAGTGAACAGGAAAAATCAAAGACACACAGCAACTCTTCCTTCTAATCAATTTTGTTGATGTGATTTACAATCAATAAAACACTCTAAACAAATATTTCAATAGGTATTGACAAATATAAGCACCTGCCTAGCAAGTGTGAGGCCCTGAGCTCAAACTACATACCACCACCACCAAAAAAGTTTTGACAAATGTGTACTGTGGAATTACCAACTCAATCAACATGCAAGAACACATTAATCATAAAGAGCCTCTTGTATCCCATTTCTGTAACCCTGACCCCAGGTTTGGTCACTAGGGATTACGTTTGTCCCTTCTACAGTTTCTTGCAAGAATAATCATACAGAATATACATGTTTGTGTCTGTCTTCTATGATGGAGATAATGTTTTTTGAGATTATTCTATTGCAATAGAATACATGTACAGTTTATCCCTTTCTGACATTAACCCATGTTTCATTTTTTAAATATACACTCATTTATTTAATCCATGGATAGATTTGGGTTGTTGCTAGTTAATGGCTATTAACATTAATATAATAATTTTTGTGCAAATATTCATTTCTCTTGGGTAAATGCCTAAAATCAAAATTCTGAATCTTAAATTAAATGATCAACCTTTTAAGAATTGAGAACTTGTTTCCCAAAGTCATACTATTTTACATTCTCACTTATCAGAGTTCTAGTTGCTCCACATCTCTGCAAACATTTGGTATTTTCAGCCATTCTAATGAGGGTATAGTGGTATCTCATTGCGATTTCTATTTCCAGTAGCTTTTTCATTTCATTGTGGTAATTCCATGCATGCATACAGTATTTAACAAGCTCACCATCTCCATTACATTTCCATTCGCCCCACTCTCCTCCTCCCTTTTTCAAACAGTGTTGGTGCGTTTCATTGCTTCCTTCATTTATACGAAGCATACTTCGTCCTCTTCATCCGTGTTCTTCTTTGCCCCACCGCCTCCTACTGATCCCTCTAAACACTCCCCCTTCACATTATTTTACTAACAATTTCCCATCGTTATCTTCATTTTAGGTCTAGATTCCACAAATGTGCAAGAAGATGCCTATCTGGCTTTTTGAGCTTGGCTTCTCTCTCAACATGGTTATCTCAAGATTCATCAATTTTCCTGCAAATGACATAATTTCATTTTATGGCTGAGTAATATTCCACAATACACTTTTTTTTCATATTTTATCCATTCAATTGGGGCACCCCAGCTGCAAGTTTGGTTATTGTGAACAATGCTGCAATAAGCCTGGGTTTGCAGGTATCTCTCTTATATATTGATTTACACTCCTTTGTGTGTATGCCCAAGAGAAGAAGGAATCATAAGGCAGCTCTATTTTGAGGAAACTCCATAGTTACTTCCATAGTGGTTAAACAAGTTTACATTCCCACCGACAAGGTATGAGGTTTGCTTTTTCTCTCCCTATCTTTGCCATCATTTCTTGTTTTTACAGTAATTGCAAATCTGACTGGGTCGAGACAGAATCTTAGGGTAGTTTGGTTTGCATTTCCTTTATGGTGAAGATGTTCAACTCTCTGCCCGATTTAAATCTTTTGATTTTGGGTCTTAGATCTTCAAAGGTCATCCATGTGGTAGCATGTCTCATATCTTCATCTTTTTATGACTAAATAACATTAAGTTGTATATATTACTTTTTGCTTAAATATTATTTGGACACTTGAATTGTTTGGGAGTTGTGGGAAATCCTGCAATGAATACGGTCTGAAAAGCATCTGTGTCCCTGCTTTCTTTTTGGGGGGAAGGTGGGTTGAACTCAGGATCTTGCCCTTACTACTCAGGTGCTCTACCACTTGAGCCATACACCAGCCCTTCCTGCTTTCATTATTTTTAAGACAGGATTACCTGGGCTAGCTTGAACCTTGATCCTATTTTAGGCTTTGCACCTATCCGGGATGAGTCAAACACCACTGTGCCCAGAGCTGGTAGTTGAAATGGGGTAATGCTAATTTATGACCTAATACATATGCATTTAAAATTTTGATAAAGTCCAATTTATCTGTTTTTCCTTTTGTTGCTGTTTTTTTGTCATGTTTGGTGGACACTTTGCCAAATCCAAAGCGTGAAGATGTAACTCATGATTCTTTGAAGTCATAGGGTTTTGGCTCTTATATTTAAGTCATTACTCCATTTTGAGTTTATTTTTGTATTATGATGAGAGGAAGATACTCAGCTACATTCTTTTACGTGTGGAAATCCCAGCACTATCTGAAGAGACCTTCCTTTCCTCACTGAAGAGAGTTAGCACCCTTGTCAAAACTCAGTTGGCCAAACATGGTTTAAATAACTCCTTTGAGTTGTGATAGGGAAGAGAAGATCAGAGATGGTAATTGCAACACGCTTCTGACTGTCAGGAGTGACCAGAAGAGGGAAGCTGATGATGCAGGAGAGGACAGAGCTATTTCTCTTTGCAAGGAATGGCATCTAGGAACCAGTGGAAAGTTTGGCCTTGGAAGCAGAGTGCCCTGTGGGAAGGAAGAGGATATCACTGCATACAGGTAGGTAACAGTGGCAGGAAAGTATGGAAGCTAATCAATCCATTCAACAAATGCTTATCAGTCAGCTATGTACTCTGTGACAGATATTGTTCTAAGGACAGCGATGAATCAAAACTCACAGGTTCCTATTCTAATGCAGCTATCAACTCTGAGTACAAAACAGAAAAATGAAATACGAAGAATATGCGGAAGGCCTGGAAGGCTTGGGGATCTGAACATCAGACTGCAATAGGGCTGTCTGACGATATGATCAAATTATCTTTTGAATGGCTGCTAAGGGGCCAGTTGCTGTTGCAGGAGATCTGAAAACTAACTTATCTCTCAGGAATAATTCTATCAGTAAGCAACATTTATATAAATATGAATGGGTAAAAACACCTATATATCAACTTTTACAGATGAAATTGAACACAGCTGTGTGTTCTGTAAACTTATAATAAAGCAATGGGTTAAATTATTCATTTTTAATCTTTTGAACAGTGCTTCACAGGAAGTGATCCATAAGGATTCCTTTTTAATATGTCAGTAAGCCTAGAGTTAAGTAGAAAATCACTACTTTTTATGAACACCCCTAAAATATTCATGTAAGTTCTTACAGTAATATCCAATAAATACTCAGAGATGGTGGAAGAAAATAAATACATAGCACACTGAGTCATTTTTGACTCACGCTTCTTCCAAGCATTTCTGGACTGCAGAGGTTCTACTGTAGATGATGTATCACCCTCTTGTGGTGCAGGCTGATGGGTATTCAATCCTGATCTAATCCAGCTTTAACACTGTTCACTCAGAAGTCACTTCTACTTATCTCAGAGTTCTCAGAAGAATCCTGGGGCTTGAGATTCTACAGAGGCAATGAGGCAGCTTTATAGGATCAAAAGAAGTACCGTAAAGATGTTTCTGAAATTCTTTTATCGTCCTCAGTCTCAAAACAGGCAGTGAACTACAAGAAATTACCTCTACTGAAAACTGCCTCTCAAAGTCTATCAGGCAACAGAGGGGGAAATGCCAATTCCAGGTTAAAAAAAAAAGTCCAAAAATTCAAGTTTTAAAGTAGTATTATGAACTGTCCACGTGGCTCAAGGTCTTATTTGAGCATCTATATCAAGAGAACTTATAAAGCAATATAAAATAATGCTTAGCAAAATAGGAAACACTTTGTAAAAGGTCAGGGAATTGATGAAATGTATTGGTGGTTGTTAGTATGTTATAAAAAATTTTATAATATAGTTTGGAAAAATTTTATCACTGTCAATTTTCTATTTCAATCCCAAGGACAGACGTGGAAAACAAATACTGATGTGTGGAAAATTAGACTTCATTCTTAAGATATTTACTTAAAAATCTTATTTGAAGAGCAGAGCTCTGGGACAGAAATATGTAATTCAATTGATTATGCCTAAACCATAAGGAAATAAATTAAACCAAGCAGGGGTGTGGACAGCAGGAAATAGGATTAAAAATAAGCAATAATTTTTTCCATGGATCCCACAAATTAGTAAAAATGTATAATTCTCACCCCAAAAATGCTTTACTCAAAAACAAGAAACACATTTAAGTGGAATAAATGAAGAGAATTATTACTAGCAATAACGTGAGGAGTGCTGTACTACACAGGAGACCAGTAACTTAGAAACTTCAAAGAATCCTCAAAGTCCTCCTGACAATTGTTGTATGATCAAAGAAGAAATACATTTCTTTTAATAAGCTTTACAAAAGTATTTTTATTAACACAGTCTTAAAAACATGAAACAAAGCCAGATGAAAATAAAAATTTCTCTATTTTTTAAAAATGATAATCCTTTCTCTTAAATAAAATGATACAATTTCTATCTTCTAGTAACAGCTCTTAAGATGATGTTCATAAAAAATTAGTTCTGCTTAATGTAGGGTTAAAACGTACCTCTCAATACAGGGGAATGAGGAGTTAAGTCTGTATTTTATCATACCACTCCCTGCCTCCCCAAAAGAACTGGTTTACCATAAGTGGAATACCAGCCAACCAAAAATGTTTACCTCAACTTCAACTCATAAAAATTTCGTGCACAAAAACTGACAAGAAACATCAATACAGAGCCAAAACATCAAGTATTTTAGCCATTTTTATTTAATAAATAACTTCAGTAAACAGCAGTGTAAAAAGTGAACTGTTAAAATCAAAAGGCACTTAAAACAGGAACATGAAAAGTATGAAACGACAAGCAACTCGAGCAGTGAGTGGGAAGCACACAAAGGTCTGTTAAGGGGCCAGGTGAAAATGAGCCTTGTTGCAGTGTTGGTTGCTGCATAAGCCACACAGTACAACTTCACATGTTCACAAAAAGGTAAATTTACAGCTAAAAATTCAAAGAAAAGATACTGATAAAAAGTCTTATCCCCAAATTGCAAACAAATACATTAAGAGATTAGGAGAGGTGATAAAAAGCACCAGGATCAAACAAAATAAAAATAATAAACTCAATCCAAAATCCCCATTCAGTAAATGCTACCTAAGTTATGGTCTTTATAATAGTGATAAATCAAGGACTCCGTAGCAGAAAAGTTCCCAGCACTTTTATCCAAGGCTTGAATTTATAAAGAGAAGGCATAACAGTTACCAAGATTAAGCAACTCTGAAAATGGCACACAGGTTTTTGAAGGTATCTGCTTTTCTTTCCTAACTCTCTGAATTCTTCCCATGGCCTTTGTGCATGAATTGATTCAAACTATTTTACACCAGGAATTCTCAAAATACTTGTTCTCCAGATATGTCTTCAGTCATGTCCAATAGGCAAACAGCATAACAGAATGAAAACAATCCAAAACTAGCTAACAGAACTTGTACTTTAGATTCTGTGTAACTGAAAACTGATAAATCAGTTTGAATACATGATTGGCAGAAACTCTCATCATCTCATAACTTCAACTACTGCCCTTTCAATCACTCTAGCAATGTCAGATAATCAAATGAGAGCTGATTTCAGGAAGAAAAGGTGAAAAAAGGCACACTGTGACCTTAGCAGACGAGGATAACAATCCTGTCTCAAGTCTTTTGTCAGTCCCTGGCATAGATTATAACATTGTTTTCAAAATAATAAAAAAATTAAAAATTATACATATTGTACATTTCAAAACCTGCATATGAATAAAACCATGGCAAATGTGCCCTAACACTACTGTACTGTGAATATGAAAATTGCTATTTTGCATTCAGTGTTGTGGAATTTGCATGTATGACTCATTTTCCCTCATACTTTGGATTGACCACAGTTGTCACAGCACTCTTGTAAATAGGATTTTCACCCTAAAAAACAACAAAAAAAAAAAGGTAAGAAAAATTACCAGTTATTCTACTAAAATCATGTAGTATTATATGGTAAATAAAGTAAAAGTTACAGACACTTCTTTTCATATTATCTACCCATCTATCACAATTTTTAGATGGCATTAATAATGGCTCACACAAAGATGAAAATGACAGCTCTGTACATGTAATGCGAACCCTGTCATCTGGCACAGGGTATATGAGTCCTTCCTCCACTGGAGGAGAGCTTTAAGAATGTTCTCCAGAGCAGAAATAAGGCTGCTACCATCAGTGATTCTCCTTTGATTGAGTTTTAGTGCCTGCAAAGGAAGCATTAACTAACTGCCTGACTCAGATTCTCTCATAGGCACAGAAGGTGCTTGAAAACCAAAACCAGAACCTTAGCTTTGCTCATATGGAGGTAAGCCCCTGGACTGGTACTGATTTAGATTTCTGAGTAGGGCCACTGAAAGTATTGTGTCTCCACCAAGTCACACTGCCAAATTTGGTTAGAATGTTAACTAATTACCATTCTTCTTCAAGTTATTTTTTTTTTACTATCATAAAGGCAACGTCTTCATTCTATACCATACTTTAAAGAAAACTCTAGGCCCAGAAGTGACTCCACACCATAAACACAAGAGATCTTTCAAGATCCAAAAAATGCACTGATGGTGATGGTTTAAGCAGAAAAATAACATACAACTGTATTTCTGCCCTCATGGAAGGCATAGTTTGGTGGGTTACAGACACGAAAATGGCACTCTGATAAGAGTACAAAGTATAATTATATGGGAACAGTAATAAAAAAAAGACAGTAACTTTGAGAAAATTAGGACTACTTTCACAGTGAAATTGATTTCAGATTAATTAGCCAAAGATATATGACTATATGCAAAGTCAAGGTACAGGGAAAAGAATGGCACATCATACAAAAATATATATAATTCACAAGTTTTTAAGTAGGTGTGTGTTTTGAGGTGTCAGGAGAAAGAAGAGACAAGAAAGAAAGGCCGTACCAATTTATCTCACAGGACCCGGCATCTAAAGCCTCAGTGCTGTGTGGCACCAAATGCTACACTGAGGTCTCAGATCAGCAACTGTGTGAATACCAGTTAGACCAAGACAATACACTTTAGCCTTCACCCTCACCCTCAACATACAACATAATCAGTTGTTTCTGAGCATGAAGGATGTCAGGATCCCTCAGTCAAACATCATACCATCTGGATGAAAAAATCATCAGAATCTCAAATTCTAAGCTGTAAGCCCAACTGGAGCTAATGTATTATGTTACAGATATTTCAAAAAAGACTAAAAAAAAAAAAAAAGGATCCTAGCAACTATCTTCTTAGAAAGTCAGTGCACATGGGTTTCATTATTTCCATCCTCCTCTCTGCACATGAGGCTACTAGTACTGCCCATTCTTCTAAATAGGTTAGGATAATAAATTATAATTTAATTTTCTTTTGAAAAAACATATTGGATAAATCTAATTTCAATACTTAAGAATTATAAGGGAGGGACAAAAATAGAGAGCAAAATGTAAAGAAACAAATGTCCACTATTGTTAGTAAGTCCAAAGTATAATTTACATAGAAGAACTTACCTTTGGAGAAGTTTATTTTGCCATACATAGAAATACTTTTATTATTTCAAAACCATCCAAAGTTTAACATGCAAGGTTAGAAATAAAATTAAACTACCTGTATTAGGCAGCAGTTTAATTGGAGATAAACTACAGTGATTCAGATTAGTCTCTAACATTCAGAGTACAACCACACTCCACAAAAACTCAAAGCTTATTTAAATCTAGAGAGCAGGGTTATATTCTGAGGTGAGACTCTGTCCTCTGGAGATAGTCAGTCTCACTCTGGAACGGCTGACAGTGGTGGCTATACAATCATTTCTGTAATTTAAAACCTCAGGTATCCAATGCAAACTATGGGAGATCTGGGAGCCACATTTAAATTTGCAATGTATCAGGGGAGGATAGGCTAATTTTTACAATGTACCTACATGGTAGTTTCATACACCAAAATAATTACAGTGCCTGCTAAGGACATAATTAACTAGCAAATCTAGATCCCATTATCAGAAAAGTGCTTTACAAGCCATGGTTTGTTCCACTTTTTCATCCATTAATAGCTGTTAATAATTTCTATCATAATTATTTTGAGAAAACATCTCTTAGAATTTGTATGAACTTCACTAATCCATGAAGAAATTTTTACCAAATATTTGGTTCTTGAATTATGAGAAATGCTTACTTTGGCTGAAGAAGGAACATTTTAGCCAAAATTTGTATCAGCAATATAAACATCAGGCATAAATAATAATTATTTACTGATAATTTCCTTCAAATACACAATGGAACATACAGAAAGGGGGAAAAAAGTGGAGCTTTTTCTCACGTGAGAAACAACTGCACGACACTGCCACTATCTGATTGCATCTTATTTACAAAGAAAAATTCCCAGTAATTTTTTAACTAACCAGTTTTCTTCCAAATACGACTTTCTGCAAAGTATAAGGTAAGAAACAAAAGTTTCAAATAAATATAAAGATCCATAAACCTACCACTATATGAATTTGATGATACTTCTGTCAAGACGTTTAACTTTGTGAGAAAGTTTTATTGCTACTTAACAAAGATCTGGCAAACCATGATTCCTAGTATTGTTGGTGCTTCTTATATCCTCTAAAATATCAAACATTTCCATATTTTTGGCTTTTATCCTATATTAAAACCAGGGTCTTATGCATGCTGGGCAAGCACTCTACTGCTGAGCTCCATCCACAAAACGACCAGCATCATTTTATAAGTTCTCTCCCATCAGAGTAAATAAGTGTAACTGCTGTGCTGAGTTCTACGTAATAAAGTGATTTTCCATTATGACATTTGCTACAGCAATAGTGTTTCCCTGAGTCAAAATCAACAACTGTAGAAAAAGTGATCTACGTCTTCCTGACCAGGTAACAGCAGCTCCTGAAGTATGGGCTTGCTGACCAGTGCACTGTGGATGGTAGGAGCGTGGACCCTGGAGTCCATCTGCCTGGTAATGGTCAAGTTACCTAACCCTCAGTTTTTTCATGTGTGAGACAGTAATAACAGAAGTTCCTACTATTTTCACAACTAACATTAAATAAATGGAGATGAAGTATTACGTACCAGGCCTGAGAAACAAGGAATGTTATGCAAATATTAGCTACCATTTTACTGTAAGAGCTCTATCCAGTAAGATGGGAGGTGAGAAACGCTGAATCCTCCCAGGCTCTATCACGTTCAGTCAGTTGAGAGAAGAAAGCAGGTTTCTGTGTCAATAGTCAGGATATTTTGGTACTAAACACTACCTTTTTATGAGAGAGTTTCAGGGGCTTATATGATTACATTAAAATATACTGGAAGCATTTCATAAAAATTCAGATATAAACAGTTTGAAACTATATAAAAAAGAACTTTGTCCACTAACCAATAAAAGAGAAAATGTAAGCGTGAAATCCAGTCACACTCTCCATAATAAAACACCCAAGCTTTGAAACAAGAAGGAGCAAGCCTTATTGTCATTATGGGGTCTTTGTTTTGTTTCCTTGAGACAGGTATACCACCATGCAGCCCAGGCTATCCTGGCACTCATGTTCCTTCTGCCTCAGCCTCCTGAGTGCTGGGATAAATGATGGGCACCACTACACCCATGTACAATGGCAAAACTTTCAACTAAGACTGTTATAAGATTTTTCCCTTTAAAGTTTTTGTTATATAAAAAAATTCCAATCTTAGCCATGAAATCAGATTACACACACACACACACACACACACACACACAATCTTCTGATATTTCCCCCCCCTTAAAGTCAGGGGATTGAACTCAGGCCTCATGCTTGCTAGACAGGCACTCTACAACTCAAACCATGCTCCCAGTCCTTTTGCATTTTTAGTTTGTTTTTGAGATGAGGTCTTGCATTAATTTTTCTCAGGCTGGCCTTGAACTGCTATGTTCCTGTCTCTGCCTCCCGAGTAGCTGGGATTATAGATGTGTACCACCACAGTTGCCTAGTCTTACTAGTTTTTAATGAAACTTCAAGTTACAACTCACAACTAAAAAATCTCAAATTCTTTCTAGAACCAATAACATTGATATTGTACATGTAAACTAATACGTTATACCATGCTACATGTTTGTACTTTGCATTTAAATTTCACTATTTCAGTGCTAAACCCTAAAGTTTACACCAACTAATTTGTTACATAAGGATAATGTCACCTAGGACTGTCATGAGGATTAGAGCAGCCTATGTGATTGTTAGTGCCCATGTCCTGCTACCTGTATGAGAAATGCAACTCTGGGAAATGAGTAAGTCAGAGCTTCTCTACTTAGACCTTAGGTCTGTCTGACTGCAAAGCACATCACAGCTGTTGCTTCTATATCTTATAATGAAAAGTCCTTCTAAGCATCAAGTTAACAAGCAAAAAGGAAAGTCACAGCCATATAAATAAAGCCAGTCTTAAAAAAAATAGCAACAGTGATAAGAGACACTCAGTGCAGCACGAAAGATAAAAGTCCACATGCAACGACAGAAGTGAAAAAAAAATACGAACGACAACTTAGAGACCAGCTTTACGTCCATAGTTTGGATTCTTGAAATTATTTATAGGACTCTTGTAAATCGGATTTTCTTGCTAAAGTGAAAGAAATATTTTCTAATGATTTCATCAGAATGAAAATTGACAGAGTGTTTAAACACTGTAAAAGACTTTTTACTATTTCTATACTTTTGAAATTCTTAGTTTTTAAAAAAACCCATGCAAATAGTGGTGATGCAAATGAATAAAATTCAAATGTAATTTAAGAACACTGAAAAATTGCATTCTTGTATCAAAAGGAGGGTCTAACGTTTAACTGCACCACCAGATTCCATACCCAAAGCATTAAATGCTAGCATCATCTTCCAGTCAGAGTTTGTGTATTGTTTTTATATGGCAATGTGCATTGAGGTATAACTTGCATAAAATAAAATGTACCATGAGAGTTTTGTGAGTTTTCAAATGCATCAACACACCCACAACCCAGATCATCCTAAGAAGATACCTTGCAGTCCCTTTCTGGACAACCCTCTCCCCCACTCCAGCACTAACAACCACTGTTCTGATTCCTGTCCCTATAATTGTGTCTTTTCTAGAAGGCCAAATAAATGCAAAGAGAGAAACAGAGAGAGAGAGGATTTAAAATTCTATTATGTAACAGACAAAAGGGCAGAACAGTACAATTAGGATAAAATCTATTAGAGAACTAAAAACAATGGCAACCATCAACAAAGTATATATTTTTACAATGTTTTATTTCAGTGTACATGCTTGGTATGCTTTCTGTTTTGCAATAACTGCAAATTCTACAAATAATTAATTTTGGGGGAAAAATGTTTAAAGAGACATTTAATGATCAATAACCAGCACTACCATTAATAAACAAGAGTTATAATCACTTTATGAGCCGCCTTACTTCTTAGATATTTTGCAACTTACCGTGTCCCACTTGGCATTCATTTTCTCCTTTTCAAATTTAGCAAATTCCCGTCTGTCATGAATTATCATTAAAAGCTTCCAAATCAGCAATAACGCAAGGCCAATAAGCACAATTCCAGCAACCACACCAGCCACAATTGGAATGATGTCTGGACCAGTGGGACAGTCTAGAAAACGGGAAGATTAATAATAAGCATAAAAGCATTTAATAGGCACAAGTTCCAACAACACAACCACAAAGTCTTATAAAATAAATAGCACTTAAGACTCAAGAGAAGTCAATGCACACTATCCCAAAGAAACTATTAAACAGCTACTAGAACTAACAAGTGAGTTTACGAAGGTTGTAGGATACATGATCAATAAAAATCAGGTACTTCCCAACACATTCACACATTTATTTCTAGACTGCAAGTTAAAAAAAAACACAAACAAAATCATCAAGACCTTATGTATACCACTACCAAATATGTATAAGGTTTTCCATTAAAAATTACTAAACAATGCTAAAGGAAATCAAAAAAGATCTGAAAAAGCAGAGAAATATCCCATGTTCAGAATTAGAGGACAAAACTCTCAAAATGTCAGCTCCCATCAGTTTGATCAATAAACTCAATCAAAATCCTGGCAGGACTTTTGCAGATATATAGACGATTACTGGTATAGAAACAGAACAACTAATAAAACAGAATGCAGAGCTTAGAAATAAATGCATACAGCTACAGCCAAGATATTTTTAAGAAAGGTGCTAAGAACACACACTGGAGAAAGGACAGTCTTTTCAATAAACAGTACTGGGAAAACTGGGTATATCAACATGCAGCAGAATGGAATTAGATACCTCTTACCAAATACAAAAATTAACTCAAAATGAAACAAAGTATAAATGAAAGAAAACATAGGCAGCATGCTTCAGGACACTGGAATAGGAAAAGACTTTTTAGAAAACACCACAAAAGCATAGGAAAAATAAAGGCAAAATTAGACCAATAGGAGCACTTTAAAAAGCTTCTGCACAGTAAAGGAAATAATCTCCAGAGTTAAGAGACAGTCTATAGGATGGGAAAAAACATTTTTAAATCTTATGTTCAGCAGGGACTATTATCTAGAATATATAAATAACTGAAAACACTCAACAGAAGAGAACAAAATAAAAGCAACCAATTTAAAAATGGGCAAGAGTCCTAAATAGATATTTCTCAAAAGAAGACATACAAATGGTCACTGGATAAATGAAAAAATGTTTAACATCAGTTATCATCAGGGAAATGAAAATCAAAACCACAATGTGGTATCACCTCACCATAGTCAAAATGGCTATTATCAAAAACACAAAAGATAACAAGTGCTAGCAAGGGTGTGGATAAAAGGGAACCCTTGCATGCTATTGTAGATAAAGTAAATTAGTATGGCTATTATGGAAAACATGTTTCTCAGAAAGTTAAGAACACAACTACCATATGATCCAGCAATCCCATCCTTGCATGGAGAGTAGACAATTGATATCTGCACAGAGTTCAGTGCTGTACTGCAGATGCTTGAGTCATTTTTCCCATACAGACTCCCAACTTCTGTTAAAGACATGCTGCTTTCCACAAATCTAAAATTATTTTATCACTTAAATTTAAAGCATAAGCTTTTAGATTGCTTTTTTGGGCACCATTTGCTTTGTGGAAAGTATATTTTCACAAAATTCAAGGCAGGGAAACACTCAAGAAATCATAAAATTTAAACACAACTGACAACAATGCAGGACAGACTGAGAGCTTCTCTGTATCAACAGAGCTGTGTAATGCAAGCAGAATTTAAAATTTTTGTTTTTAAAATTTATTCTGATTTTTATGTATTTTTTTACTGTACTTTGTCAAAACCTCATGCAACAAATTTGTGAGTAAGATGTTCTTAATGTACATCCAAAGGAAAGGAAACTGGCCTGTTAAAGAGACATCTGCACTCTTCACAATAGCTGAGAAAATGGAAGCAACCTAAGTATCCAGGAACTGATGAATGGGTAGACAATGTGATACATACACACAGTACACTAGTAAGACAAAAAGAATGAAATTCTATCATTTGCAACAGTACAGATGGAGCTAGTGTTCATTAAGTTAAGTGAAATAAGCCAGGTACAGAAAGACAAGCACATGAGCTTATGCAAGCAGAATATAAAAAAGTTGCTACCACAGAAGTTGAAGTAGAATAATGGTTATCAGAGGATTGGGGATGGGAGAAGGCAATAAAGGAGAAGAGGTGAAGGAAGGGCAATGGTTGATCAACTAAGTTACAGTGAGGTAGGAGGAAGCCTGTGTGCTATTGCATAGTAGGGCAACTAAAGTAAATGAATTGTACCACCCAAAAAGCTTTAAGAGTGTTTGGGGATGCAGCTCAGTGGTAAAGCACTTCGCTAGCATATTCAAGGCCCTGGGATCAGCTGGATAGAGTTGTGTATGCCTGTGAGTTCAGCTACACGAGAGGTGGAAACTGGGAGGATGGATCATGGTTCAAGGCCAATCTGGGCAAAAAGTTAGCAACACCCATCTCAACATACAAGCTGGACATGGTGCTGTGTGCTAATGGTCCCAGCTACCTGGAGGCATAGATAGGAAGAGTGAAGTCTGAGGCTTGTCTTGAGAAAAACACAAGATGCTATCCAAACACAAAACCTAAAAAGGGCTGGGCTCAAAAGATAGAGCACCTGTCTAGAGAAAGCACAGGGCTCCAAGTTCAAACCCCAGTACCACAAAAAACAGAAAACAAAAACAGGCCCTAGGTTCAATTCCCAGCCCCTCAAAACTAAATAAAATCTTTTGAAAAGTTTACTGAAAGTTTTCATTATACAGAAATGATAAATGTGTAAGTAGCTATGTTTAATATGATTTAAATACTACAAAACGTATACATGTATCAAAACATTACATTACTCCATCAATATGTACAATTTTTTATTTATCATTAAGAAATTAATTGGTTAAAAAAAGTCTACTCAAACAGCTATGACTGTGTGAATGGCTAAAAGACAGATACAGATTAAAGGAGCAGATCACAGAGTGAGAAAAGGTCACCTGATTTTCAAGCAAAGTAGAAAAAGGACTGTCTTCAACAACTAGTGCTAGAACTATTGCATAAGTCAGCCATATGCAAAAAAAAAAAAAAAACTGAACCTCACTCCACATTAATAGATAAACTCAGACAGGTTACAGGCCTAAATGTAGAACCAGAAAGTGTAAAACACAGGGAAAAAAAAACCTTCACAAGGATTTTGCAAGGGAGTTCTTAAATGGAAAAGTATAATCAAGATCCATAAAAGAATAACTTGGTAAACTATACTTAATCAAAACCAAAACTTCCAGGGCTGGTGGTACAGTTCAGTGTTAGAGTGCTTGACTAGCATGCCCAAAAACCAGGATTTGAAACTTAGCACCAGAAAAAAAAAATTTTTTTTGATGTTCAAAAGACACTAAGAAAATGAAGAGATATGGAGGCACGGCAAGGGCGAAAACATTTCCATACACTTATCTAACAATGCAACAGTAGAGAGGCTTTTTAAACTTTTGCAGTTTGCTATAAACATTTGCTTACTGCATTCTCCAAAATATGTTCACACAAAATCTGTACATGAATGTAGAAAATTCCAAAGACTCTACAAAAAGCTCTACTAGTAAGCCAAGATTACAAAATATTTCATCCCTGAGAAGTTAAACGAACTCAACACTTAACAGTATGTTTTAACAAATTACCTTTCCCCACGTCCAAGGCAAACCAAGTTCAAAGTTAAACATCAATTGAGCACCACCTCCTAACTAATTGTCAGGCAAGGTTTTAAGTGCCTTGAACAGTTGATTGCATTTAATCTTAAAATGCTCTAATTAGCCAGGTACACTGCAGTGGCTTAGACCGGTAATCCTAGCTACTTGCGAGACTGAGATCAGGAAGATCATGGTTCAAGGCCAGCCCAGGTAAAATGTTTGGAAGTCCCCATCTTAATCAATAGCTGGACACAGTGGTGTGTGCCTGTCACCCCAAGCTACATGGGAGATTAAGATCAGGAGGATCACAGTTCCAGGTCATCCCAGGCAAAAATCAAGTTGGTGAGACCCCATCTCAACAGAAAAATAGCTGCTATGTTGGCATGCACCTGTCATCCCAGCAATGGCAGGAAGCATAAGAGGATTGTGGTCCAGGCTTGAATGAGTGAAAAGTGAGAACCTACCTCCAAAATAGCCAAAGCAAAAAGGGCTCAAGTGGTACAGTGCTGACTAGCAAATGTGAGGCTCTGAGTTTAAACTCCAGTACCAACATAAGAAAAAACCAAAAAACCTCAAAACTTAATTTCTCTTTTCCTTATTTCTTAGTTAAATAGCATTTTAAGCTTTGGGAGAGGAAATATTTCTCAACTTGAACCTAAAAATAGTAAGAGTTGGAATTTGTTGATGGATATCAGGGAACCTGACCATAGGCCTGAATGGTAGAAATGAGGCATAAAAGAAAATGAAAAGAATTGGTGACATTATCAGACTTTTACCTGGAGTCTCTACAACATGAACAATAGCTTCACTTTTCCCATTCACTGAGTAGGTGAAGTAGAACCAGCAGTCATCAACATCCTTCTCCTTACAGTGGGTCATGGGATCAACCTGGACAGGCTGGGGTAACTTGTCCCGACTTTCTACCTTGGTCAGGTTGAAATGTGAACACTCCTGTGCACACGTGTCTTTCTTTTCTCCTTTATTGAAGGCTCTGCACTGAACACATTCTCTGTTGAAACAAAATTGGTATGTTTAAAATGTATTCTTAAAATCAGTTTTGCTTAAAGAGTATTGTGTGCTAAGACCATGACATATTAAGCCAACACCTCAATTTGAACAAGAATTTGAAAAAAAAGAGGCATAGTATAATTTTGGATGGGAAGTGTACTTCAAGAAATTCTAGTTTTCAGTGATCGTGGCCACATGGCCTTCACTAACACCAGTGCCAAGGTGGCTGGTGGAGCCTCAACCAAAGGAAAAGGTGTGGGTCTGGAGCTCTCTGCTCCATGACTCCAACAAGTAGTAACCCTTGTGTAAAGAGCCCAAGAGGCAACTGTCTTCCAAGGCTCCCACAAGAGTGCGCCCTCTACTGGACGGTGAAGGAGCTTCTTCTCACAGGTTGGTACTGTCCAGCTCCTAGAATTAGACCTTATCATAAATCCACTAAACTTCTTATTCACAAACATTTTTCCAGAGTCTGATGTGAGAAATTGCACAGGACTTCAAAACATACATGCACTTCCAGAGAACAGCTATTGCTACTTTGCAGGAGGCCAGTGAGCATTTCTGCTCCACCTTTTTAAAGACACAAACCCATGTGCTATCCACTCAGTCTAAAGATAGCCAGGTAGCACATGGCAAAAATGGAGAACAGGCTTAAAAATCTATTCTGATGGGAAGCATTTCATTCTCAAGAAAAATGAAACTTCTTCCTACTATTGGTAGTTCTGAACCTTAGATCCTTTTCGCCATTGAGATAAGAAAGAACAGAAGTACGTGACTGGGAGTGGACAAAAGGGGACAGAAATCAGGTATTGGCAGTTCTCTCACTTTCATTTATGTGTGAATTTTAAAATGAAAGCAAAGGCATAAAGCATTAACATGTCAAATGTTTTAGTGAACCAATTTTAGCAGTGCAACTTTATTACAATTATAAATAACCTGATAAATTTTGCTAGACAGTTCCAGAATTTGGATATTTTTAACAAATAAATTTCTTGCTGGCAAAAAAGGAGGGGGGATGAACACTAGTTCCCCAAACAAAATGTTTTTATTTTACTAAAGTTCCAATTAAAATCTCAATAAAGAAACAGAGGTAATAAAAACTATTCCTATAACATGTTAAACATGTAGGCAAACCGTAAGTTAAGCAGTACCTTACTGGTACAATTAAAATTCAAGGGGAGAAACCTTAAATTTTGTTCAGTCAAAAGATAGTAATTGGGCAGGAGGTACTCCTCAGTAGTAGACCACAAGGCCCTGCATTTAATTCCCAGCTCCCTCCCCTGAAACCAAAAAAGATAGCAATGTCAATTTAACAAAGGTAACTACATAAATTTAATTATATACCAATTCCCAATTTTGGATCAAACTAAAAGTACAAGTCTCAGATGACATACACTACTTAATGAGTAAGAATTTCTAATAACCAAAATGTGGACTTTGTTTTTATTTATAGCATAATACATTAGAATATGTGCTGGTTCTAGTGATGACTATAATACATACTTAGGTAAGCAGACAGTAAATACTATTTCAAGCAATTAGGAGAAACTTACTTATGTTCAACACAGACACCAAGGCAGGTCTGACACGTCTCACAAGCTTGTCCTTGAAACTTCGGGTCTGTACATTTACAAACGCCACACTCACAGATGCCCCGGCCATTGCAGATCTGTCCATTTGCTGCCATGCATGGAGTAGTATCCAAAGAGCAGTCACATGCACTGCCCGTGTAGTTGGGGTAGCATTCACACACACGACACCTGCAAACACCATTTCCTGCAATTAAAAATATCATTTCTCAAAATTAGGATAAAACATAAAGTGATAACATTGATTTAAAGTAAAAACAAGCAACAACAAAGAAGAAAGTTTAACAAAGGATAGACTGACCCCAAATGCTGTCCCTTTACTACTAGTTCAATGAATACTCTTAAGATGTTGTACCAAAAAAAAAAAAAAAAAAAAAAAAAAAAAAGATGTTGTACCAAAGTAGCAGGGATCACATTCTATAACCGCTTCTGATGCTTTTCTCACCTCCGCAAATTAAGCCATTGGATCTATCACAGTTGAAATTATCACACTCGCAGAATTTGCCAGAATAAATTTCATTTGTATTATCCCTCTTCCTACAAACACACTGTCCACAGACACACTCTCCATTATTACTACAGATTTCTGAACTGTTTTCTTTCCTGCAGTAAGCATCCATGTCTTCACTGTTAACTTCATCTGTGCTACATTCACAGTGTCTCCCAACACGTCCCTCATTGCACCTGAAAAAAATTCCAAATTGCAATCACATAAAATAAAAATAACTCAATAATACCAAGTCATGAAAAGGAAACAAAATTGAACAATCTCTTCAACTAACAAAATATCAGGGAATGTTCATGCCACAGAGATGTGTGTGACAGCACCAAGAAACACAAACAGGCCCAGTAGCCATTCAAGGTCTTATGGAACATGAAAGGGTCTAGGAGAAAAATGTCTTCAGAAAGAAGTCATTTTAACAAAAATGAAGTGAACAAAACAACTGCAAAAACAAACCTATTTTTAAGGAGAATGTTAAGATATATTTTCAAATGACATGATATTACTTTGCTGTTGTACATCTACTACCTGTAATTTTCAAGCAATAGCCCAACCATTAACATAAAGGTATAAATGACCCAAAAAAACATAGAGTACATCCACTGAAAATATTAACACATTATTTAAAATAAATTTATCCTACATGCGAGACTTATCTGAAACCTTTTATTTTTTAGAACACCTAATGTTTATGGATATACTTACCCTGTATCTTATAAATAAAGGGAAGAAAGGCAAACAGTTTTGAAGATAATCTTTTTGGTTAAATGACATGTTACCAAAAGTAGATCTTCAGGACTCAAACTGGATTTTTATAATATGGAAATAAAACTGCAACATTTAAACTGTTGCTTTAAAAAGGCAATTAATTCACAGTGAACAATGTCCATCATGTATTTTTCTTATGGCAAATAATCCTAAGCATAGTCATTTGCTTAGAAGATTAAAAATGTCGTCTTCTAATATTTAAGAGAGAGCAATATTCAGAGTACATGGATGGGTGTCGACCAAAAACAAAACAACAACAACAGAAAAAAACTCAGCACTTTTAATTTTTAATTAAAAAAGTAACCAGTGCAAAAGTACTTAAAATAAGTTAGTAGATTCTACATCCAGAAAATAACATTTTCTTTTTAATTTTAGAATTAATTCATTCACAGCATTATTCCAGTTATACAAAATTAATGCAGTACAATGTAAACATTCATTTTTACTTCCTACTGCTACTTCTCAGAAAAATCTCCATTACCAGTTTTATACATATTTCCAAAACATTTTTCTATAAATGTATTTCATAGAGACTTATTTTGCCATAAAAAACTGAGAATGCTATCATGAGAGAAAAACCCAAAAGCTCTCTTTTTTTGGTGGTACTGGGGCTTGAACTCGGGGCCTCACGCTTGCTAGGCTTGCTGGGCAGGGGCTCTACCACTTGAGCTACTCTACCAGCCTTCCAAATACTATCTTAACAGTGTTGAATATACTCCTTACATAACTATGAAACATTTCATTTTAGAAAGCTGTTTTTCTTAAGAAAAACAGTCAGAAAAGATCTTCAAAATGATCCTATGGGGAGCAACAGTGGTTAGAACAAAGGATTTATTTGTCACACTGAGATTTTCTATAGGTGTCTCAACAGACGGTCTGATTATAACTTTCAAAAGCAACACAGCTGTTGTTCTTCCACAGCTCTCAGCTTACCTGCAAGCTCCACACTCAAAAGTTCCATTTCCTTCATGACACTTTGGACTTTCAGGAATGCCTGTGGTTTGGCATTCACATTCACAGATGAACTGAAGAATAATCTCTACTTCTTCAGTAAAGCCCAGGGGCTTAATTTTAATAGTTTCAGAATTCTTATTTGGACATTTATTTGAAGTTATGCTAATTTCAAATTGAACCTTGGGGGGGGAAAAAAACTAGATGAAGTTAACAAGGTACTAATGAAAAAATATTTCATAAAACTAAAACTTTTTGAAACTAAAATTTGCTTACAAATATGCAACATTTTTTTCTTTTCTACAGAAAATGTTTATGCAACATACCTCATCTCCAATGGAGATATTGGAACACTTTCTTCCATTTTCTCCTGTCCCATTTATCCCATTCTTGCAGTAGGATTTGTAATTTATTGTTACTCCTTCTGGCAATTTGCTATTTTCCAAAATGACTTCTGAGGAAAGGGACTAAAAAAAAAGACTGAATCACAACACAAATGTAAAATGGGGGACTATTTTGGGGTGGGAACACATGTATGAAAACAGAATAATGAAATGCATTAAAAAATACATTAAAAAGAGTAATAGAGGGGGTGAATTTGATCAAGGTACATGCTATGCAGGTATGGAACTATCACAATGAAACCACATGTACAATTAATACACAGTAATACAAAGAGACAGGAGAATAATCATGATAAGGAAGTCAAATATAACGTCACCTGAATGCACAAAGTATTTCAAGAAATACACTTTGGTAATGAGAAAACCCAGAGTAACAGATTAACTCATAAGAGCCCAATCTTTAAAATAATATACACGTGGTAAAGAACATTTCCTTGTAAAATTTTCAATTAAAACAGTGCAGAGGGTTGACATCAAGTAGGAGGCTTCCTGCAGAACAAATGATTTCCCTCCCAATTGGCAAAGGCTGTCCTCTTGCCCTGTCCATTTCAGCTAACTAGGGAGCAGAGAAAATGATCTACTCTAAGGTCTAAGAACAAATTTGCTTAGAACTACTATAATTTTGGAAAGAGGAAAAAATTCTAAGGGGCTGAAGTAGGGCTCAGTGGCATTTGCCTAGAATGCAGGAGGTCAATACTGTCTTTCCACCCCCCACAAAACAGACCCTATTTAAAATATCAGATATCTTAGGACAAACAGAGGAGGTTGCAGTGGCAAGCAACCCCTAAGAAGCACAGACAGCAACTATGGGAAGAGATGAAACAACTGGAATCGTGAAAACCTTTGTAAAATCCCTGCCTGTCACAGGTCTTTCCAAAACATTTGGTTATTTCCAAAACCTGTATCATAAGGTAAAAGATATCTAAAATTCAACCGAAGAGTTAGGAGGGGTCTGTAATAGTGGTGTGTGTAAAGCACAATAGTTACCATAATATTATAAATGCCTACAGATTATTTAAAACCATTATTAGCCAATGTTTAATAGGTATCATTAAACATACTCTGAATTAACTCCAGAAGGGAAAGACAATTTCTTTTTAGCTTTACCTCCCTTTCACGTTAGGAAAAAAAAAAAAAAAAAGCTTATAAATCTTTTTAAAGCAAGCAAGTCACATTATATTTACATTTTATGAAATTTAAGGTATATGTGCATGAGGGTATGTATATACATGAGTGTATGTGTGTACCTACTAAAAATAGAAAACTCACTGGAGTTACGGCTTAAGCAATAGAATACCTGCCTATCCAGCAATGAAGCCTTGAGTTGAAAATCCAGTACAGTCAAAAAAATAAAGCGAGAAAACACATATATAAATGGAAAATAGAAAATTCTATTCCCTGAATATATTGCAAGAGGAGAAAAGGCCAAACAGTTTGTCTAGTAAAACTCATCAAAATAGATGGATCTACAAAGGGAAAAAAAGAAGACCGGAAGAATCTTGTCTATCTAAATGTAAGTTATACTCTACACCTACTCCAACAAGATCTTTGATTAAGGACATAACAGAGATGTTCAGAATCTTACATGCTTTCAGCATATTTTTGCTTTGCCTGGGCCATGATTTTTATGAGACAATATAAAGCTCTTCCTCCAGATAGAGAATTTACATTTTTATTGCCCTCTAGTCTTGCTAACTGTGTGCAAAGGAAGTTTTACTTTCTTTGAGCAATGTCTTCTCCAAATTTGATCTTACTTAAATATACTCACATTGTATGCATCAATGATCAACTGAATTACATTGCTAGAATTTCCAGATAATGTTCCCACGGCTGACTTAGGGATCAAATTTTTTAATTCCTACAATGAAAAGATAAAACAAAAAATATAAATGTGGATATTAAACAATCCACTGAGCAAGTAATATTTATCTTTAAGTATTTCCTAAAGAACTTTAGGAATCAAACCAGAAGAAAATTAGTTTAACAGCATGTGAGCAAAAATTGACATAAATCCCCTTAAAAAATTCAGTCTGCCTACACAGTGCCATTTCGTATTCATGAGACATACAATTTTGCTTCGAATGACTAAACAAAAAAAGATTTAGAACTTTGTTCTTTTTATCTCACATATATTTACCTTATAAACGGGCTGAAATTCTTCGGTAACTGCAAAAATCGTCTGAATGTTATTTTCACTGAGTTTCTGAACAAGGTGAGCAATAGAAGGATAGTCCTAAGAAATGAAGTAATACAATTCAGTATGTAAAACACCCTTCTAATGTGTTCTGAGCTTTTGTATTACTGAGACAGGGATCACTACACAGCCCAGGCTCGTCTTGAACTTGTGATTCTCCTGCCTCCACATTCTGAGTGCTGAGGTTACAGTATCTGAACTGCTCAGTACTTTTTGAAAACAGTCATAATTTGCATATATAACTGGATTCCTGAGACAAGACTGCTTTCAAATAATAACAAATGCAAATAATTACTGTAATGGGTAGTGTGTTTTTGGGTCTCTAATCTTCCACTTTTATGCATGTTTAAGAACCTCCATATTAAAATGGTCTTAAATAGTAAGATATTCTATGTACGATAAATATTAGGACAAGAAAATTAAAGAACCACTCATTATTAAAGGTTCTATGATCTATCACTTAAGAAAAAGAACAAGATTAGACCTGGGTGCACTGGCTCATGCCTGTAATCCCACCTTGGGAGGACTGTGATTGGAGGCCAACCCAGGAAAAAAGTTGGAGACCTCCCACCTCAAGGAAGAAGCCAAGCATGGTGTGGTGCACACCTATAATCCCAACTATGTAGGAAGCATAAGTAGGAGGAATGCAGTGCAAGAGGGTAACCCTAGATAATTCGTTTAAATAGCAAGTTTGCTACCATATGCGTATGCAAGTGAGGAGACAGCTAGTTGAAGGCAGAAGTAGCGTGGTGTCTCAGCCACCCCTTCCACCCTTCACCCTAGCCTGAGTGCAAGGAGCAAGCACAACACACACCTTCACCAACAGCAATACCTGCTTGGACATTATTACATCATGGTCTATACTTTAAAAACCGTCAACTTTAAACAACCCACAAGCCAGTTACCCACAATACTGTTAACACTAGACACTAAAATTCAACATTAACCCATCTGCTAGGTAAGGACTTAAGCGCTTACATAATAATGGCTCATTGTGTATACATTATTTTCCAGGTGACACTGTCCATCATTTGGTAAAACAATGCCGCCAAGTTTCCCATCTCCAGCAAAGTGAAACCCGGCATCTGTAGAAAACACCAGCAACCGTGTGACATTCCTCCAGCCAATCAGTGACTTGAAAAGGAAGAGATTTCAATTTTAAAATGCTACTCACAATAACTCAACAGAAATCTATTACTTTTCATGCAAGCTACCACTCTACTTTTAACCTAATTCTGTTCTCTCTTTTCTTTTCACAATGTTTATAATCTTGCTAATCAACAGAGATCCCACTGAGAAAAACTCCTCCACATCACTGCTCAGCAATTTCTTCCTAGTTGTCCATATAGACAACTCTCAGCTCCTTTTAGAAACTGTTGCTTGATTTTACTCAAAGGAGCTAGCACAGTGCCTATCTCTTGGTAGAGGTTTCAGGAGTGCCTGCTACATGAATAAAAGTATCTCTGCCCCATATTCTTTACCCTGTTGTGGGGTCCTGTTCCATCCTCCTGTCACCCACCCTTGCTCTACCTTATATCCCATCTGCCTCCTTTATCAGCCTTCCATAATAGGCTTTCCTTTTTTCTAATTATAGAAAAAATTGCCACAGGACTTGCCTGCATAAATCCATCTACTTGAACTCATCAATCAATACTTTGAATTTTTCATGTGTAATTTATTCTCCATTTATTCAACAAATAATTTAAAGTAGAAATAGAATTCTCTTCTGTTTTGTAATTATATTTGTCTAAATTTAAATTGCCCCAATCCACCTGTCCTCTTACAACTAAATTCTGGGTTGGGGCATGGCTCAAGTAGTAGACTGCCTGCCTAGTAAGAACAAGGCCCTGAGTTCAAATCCCAGTTCTGTCCCTCCTAGAAAAAGACTAAATTCCTTGAAGGCAAAAACTAGGTTTATTAATGGCAATCATTTTTCAAAAGTGCAATATCTCTCTTGTGCGCCAATAGAGAAGTAGAGCATGACAAACACAGAAATATAGCCGTAACTCTAGGTGCTAGAAGTCAGTTTGATCCCAAAAATAAGGCACAGGTACAGGCAGCCCCAAGAATGCTCTCCTCACAGTGATCACAAACAACTGGCCAGAAAGAAAGAAAAGCGGTACCAGGTACTACATAGTACTAGGTACTACCTCAAAGTCTACTCTCTCTTCAGCTTAAAAGCTGAGACTAAATCTTAAATTACAATCACCCAGTGAAAAACCAGAATTAACAAGACAGTAGTTAACATTTGCTGAGTGTGTACTGATACTTAATACAGATCACTGCACTGGAACTTCAGGGTAGCCTGAGTTCTATACTATACTGTTATTGTTCTTTCAAAAATAAAAGAAAACATTCCCTAGAGATGCTAAGTAAACTTCCTAGTGTTAGGGAGAGTGAGAAAGTTCTTTACTACCATACCTGTTACCTACCATACAGTATCACTTATTTTCTTGGATATCAGTTAGGACATTACCAAGGACAAAAGAGAAAGTGAGAAAAACTTCATCTACTTTCAGCCTCAGCTGTGTCATTAAAACACCATCACAAAATACTCAGCTGGTACCTGGGTCATAGAATGTGAGTCACTGTTCCAATAGAGATGAACTTGTTACCACTGAAAATCGTGAAATTTAAAACTACAAATGCTTTGTTGCTTCTCTGTATGTTGTTATACAGCTTATAAATTAGGGCTTTAAAAGTTCCTTCGTTTTTTTGTGTGGTATTAGGGTTTGAACTCAGGACTCATACTGGCTAGGCAGGCACTCTACCACTTGAGCAACTCCACCAGCCCAAAAAGTTCCTTCTTTTTGAGTTGCTAAGACACAGAAAAAAAGATGCCTTTCAAAGAAAATGAGTGAAAGAAAACTGACCAAAGGAAAATAGTGTGAGACAGTATTCCATGAGACCAGTTTCAAGATTCCTGATGATACCTCAGATGACATCAGTTCCATCTCCTATACAAAGCCAGACTCTTCCAAAAACCCAGAACACCAGTGAAAGTACACTGTTTCAAATGGTTAACATATTGACTCGTAAAACAGTATGAAAAGAACTAACTGCCCAGGTTAATTAGGGGCATAATGATTAAATAAACTTCAAAACACGTAACAGTTCCCATACTTCTCACTGACAATCTAATGATATGGTAATTAAAGTCATGTTTTTAGTAACTTTTGGTAAAACTGCAATTAAAATCCACAAAAATAACAAAAATGGACCCTTGAAGAAAATAAATGCACTTACTCCACAAACGGCAACCTGCATGATCGCATCAAATCCACCTTCTGGAGAATCCAAGTTCCCAGATATGCGCTGTTTACCCACAAGGTCATTAAATATTTCTCCCTTATCAGTAAGACTGAGCACATTTTTATAGCTGAATGGGCTGGTGCAGTTCTGTTCACTTGTGCAAGGGTTCCTGAGCTTTGCTGGTGTTGTACTAATATAAGGCATCACAGTTTTCTCCACAAATGAGCCAAAACCTGACAAAAAATGCACTTGGACAGATGAATGTACAGACAAACTTGCATTTTTTAAAACTATGTTATCACAGATAAGTCTGATTGAACTGAACATCTAATACTAAATAGTAATGAGATACTGGGGTACTTGACAGGTTTACAAAATAAACCAATAGATGAATGGAAAACAATCAGACATTTCATTATCTGAGAGGCATAATTTGTGTCAAATTACATGCAGTACACATTGATGGAGGAAAAGAATCACAAATTGTATTAGCTGCATGACAGGAATATCAGTTTTCTCTCAGAAAAAAGATGAAAAACTACCCTACTTATCTCACAAATATGTAGAAAAGAACAAAGAAAGAAAACACAGGGCTTTGAGAAATGTTATACATAAGAAAATTATTAATTTTTCAAACACTCGTACCAATTCGGAAATCTGAAGTAATCCTCCTCATTTCATTCATCAGATCAGTTCCAAGACTTTTCACATTCTCCAGATCATCTTTCATTGAATATGAGAGGTCCATAAGGTAGTAAAGATCAATGGGATAATCTTCAGCTCTCTTGAATTTTAATGTAAATGTCTGTGGCTCCCCTAATGTAACAGAGATTAGAAAATGAAATTAGCCTCCCAGCAATCAAAAGCAAATAGATACAATTTACATAGCGAACACTATAAAATGAAATGAACTAAGTGTACATTTTTACAAAACCTGAAGATTCTATAAATAACTCAACTGTTATGTCCTCAATTTCATTCAACCAAAACTTGTAACACCAGGCCTTTCACCAAAGATGAAAAAGACAACATCCCCAACCAAAGTGGACAAGACAATCAAATGTGCTATAGTTTGGATCTGTAATGTGTCACAAAGGTATCCATATTAAAGGCTTGGTCCCCAGGTTGGCACAACTGATAGGAACTTAGTAAGAGGTGGTGCCTAGAGGGAGGATTTACACCAAGGGAAAGGTCTGTGGGCAGGGAATAAAAAGAGAGAGACAGTCTCCCACCTACCCACCTCCTGAATGTGAGGTGAATAGTGTTCCACCAAGTGCTACTAACATGATGTGCCACCTGTCATAACCCCAAAGCAATAGCAGCCACTTAATCATGGACTGAAACTTCCAAAACTGTAAGCCAGAGTAAACCTTTTCTCTTTATAAAGTGGTAATTTGCAGTAGTTGTTACAGTAATGGAAACACGAACAACTGATAACTATGAGACCGGTAAACAAAAACATAAAACACCATGAATTCACTAGAGAAGGCAAGACTGTGCACATCACAGGACACAACTGACATTTCAGTTGTGAGAAATCTGTTCTTTGTATAATGCACCACTGCAATATACAGGTGAGTAATTTAATCTTATTTTACTTAAGAAAATGTGGCAAAAACTTTTAAAAGTAAGAGGTTACCTAAGAAGCTACAGAAAAAAAATTCAAGGAGATGATGAAACTCTGAACTAAACATTGACGAAAGAGAAAAGGAAAGATAAAAGAGATGTTAAATTTGAGTCACTTAGAAAATAAAGGGACTGGGGATGTAGTTCAAGGGCACAGCATGCCCAGTACACACAAGGCCCTGGGTTGGATTTCCAGCATTTTAAAACAAACAAAACAGAAAAAACTTAGAAAACACAGAAGAATATGAAATTTGGATGAAAAACTATTAATTTTAATGTGTGAATTTTCTCTGTATGGATTTCTAGTAGGCAGCTAGAAAAACAGGTACTGAGCTCGAAAAAAATCTGTGATTGTTTTCAAATACAGGAGAGGAAAAACAACTTTTAAGTGATCTGCAGAAAAGGAGGAGAAAAAAAAGACAATGTGTAAAACAATGGTAAGCAATGAGAAGAACAACTAGGAGTGATGCCATGGGAACAGAAAGCATCTTTCTGGTATAAAAATAATGAAGTAAGAGCTGGAGACTGCTCAAGTGGTAGTGCCTGCCTAGCAATGCCAGGCCCGGAGTTCCAACCCCAGTACTGACAATAATAAAAACAATAATAATAAATGCATGGCCCAGATAAGGATCCTGTAGATCTGGGGTCCCAGATGACAGTGGCACTGTGTTGCAGCAGGTGTTGCAATAGAATCCTGACCGCACAAGTCAAAGAGCAGATGGATGGGGAGCACACACCATTCTCCTGAGAGAAATAATGGAAGCAAGAAAGCCAGGAAGAGGGCCTGTTTCTTTATTTTTAGATGTGGACAGATACAGGTACTTACTATTACTTAAACAGTACTAAACTAATACAAAGGAACATGTAGGTTAAAACATTGCTTTTGTATTATGAAATTATAGCAGAAAATGGATACTATTATTTTAAAAACTCATTAGACTCAAGTCTAAATAATAACTCCTGACTCACCAAGAAAATCTGCTTCTGACATTACATAACACTTAATACTATTCAAAGTATGTTTTACAAATTGTTATGTCTGCAAAAACTTTCCAAAATTAAATCTATTCAATTTTAAGTGACACAATGAGCCCTCTATAGAAGCTGATTAAAAGGCTTGCATAAAGGTGGTGCCAAAAACTCAAACAGGAGGCTGGAGCTGTATTTCTGTACCTGATCGTAATTGCAATACCAACTGCTGTGGTTGGATCTGAGTAATATCTTCTGGCTGGAGCTTCTCTGCTGTTCCTTTACTACGGTTGGTGACATTTTTATCTTTCTTTATATTTTTGGAGCCTCTGGGATTTTCTATGTCATCTGGATGGCAACCCTTCTTTTTTAAGGCTTCTAAATCATCACAACGTGCAGAAGTAGGCATTCCTTCTTGTAAAAATGTCTAAATGACATATAAAATATTGGTATCAAAAAGTGTAATGGTCAAACCATTTTACATAATCATAAGAGCAAATGCATAAACTACAAAAACCAAATGAATTCTAATGTACTTAATTTCTGGCTTTTAAATAAAATGCTCGACTCACTCAAATCATATGTGCTTTTGATTAAAAACAAGCAAAATCAATACTAAACAAGTAGTACCTTTCCCAGGACTGCCCTAAGTGTATATATTTTTAATGCTCCACATTCAATTTCAAACTACCTAACCATTAACTGTATTTCTTCACTGAAATTACTTGTTAAGCAAGGTTAACAGCTATAAGTAATATACATACCCAAATAACAGACAGTATTTTTCTATAAATTCCCTTATAAAAGTCCTTACCATGTCTTTTGTATTACATAGTACAGCCCAGTGTTTAGGGAAAGCATATTAGCCTCAATACATCTCAACTAATGGTAGCATCTTCAAACAGAGATAAAGAAATCTAATAAACAGTAAATAGTCTTAAAAGTTTCAAAATATTTTAAGTATTTGCTATTATTGTAAATAAGATTTTTAAATTTTATCTTGAAAATTTTAAAATTCTGAATGATATACAAATAGATACTTGTGGCATGGGAATAAATTTCCAATAAAGACATAAATTCAAAATGTGCTGTACCTCAAATATTAGAAATAAAAATTTTATCTGACAAAGTACCTTAGAAAAGACAAAAACATTGATGCTACAGATGTAAAGATTTTGAACAAAAGTGTTTCATGAAATGTGAGAGTAAACACACAAAAAACTAATGACATTATCTATAGTACTGTCCATTATCAATTTCATGGTGTATGATGTGACTGCAGACATTAAAGAATACACAAAAGCTTTTTAAGTTATTTTCTAAGACAAATACAACAGTCATGAGAGCATTTATGAGAATCTATCCAGAAACAACCAGAAGAGAAAGAAAGTTAAGGGCCAGGTGTGTCTAAACTGTACAATTTTTACTTATTATCAAACCTAAACTACTACCAAAGCACAAGATCCTGCTAAATTATTCATTTCAAATACTAGCCAATCCAAAAAGCCTTAAGGTCATAAACCCAAGTAAAATTTCATTAAGCATACTCCCCCCAAAAATCTTAATTAATTAAGGATTTGTGCCCCAACCCTCAAAGACTAAATTATTTAAACAACACTTAGCTAGGATAGCCTTCAACCTCACATAAACTATGGCCCCATAAAATGGATGCTGATAACAGCAGCTACCACTTACTAATCTTGAAGGCAAAACTGCTTTATTAAAGTTTATTAAATTCTACTTGAAACAACAGACAAGCAGGAGTTATCCTCACTTTCCAGAAGAAAACCAAGACCTTCCATTAGATAAGCCTTGCCTCAAAAAAACCCACAGCACACATACTCTCCACGGTAGCTAATTTAACCCTGGTATACCATTTTAGAACAGAAAATGCTATTAGAAAAACTAAAATAAAAACCTCTCATTTTATCTTTAAATGGTCAAACTATCCACCATTTCTCATATTTGAACATTTACGTCTACATATAGACACTTGTACTTTGGGTCCAAAAGCCTGGATAAAGATAATCAATAAACCTGTTCATTTCCACTATAAGCTATTTATTCTGTTTATTAATATTAGGACCTCAAATTGACTCCTCACTTTTTGCTCTGATGTATGCATTTGAATATTCACTCATTGAAAATTTAGTAAGTGTTATTTACAAGATACCTTGTTAGGCAAGGTAGAAGTTTTTTAGTGAATAAAATTCAATTCCTAACTTCAAGGGGTTTATAGTAGTATGCAAATCAACTCTATCAGTTAAAAACAAATATAATTTATAATATATATAAATATAATTTACATCCCCCCCTATCAAAAAAGGGGGGAGGAATTAAATGAGTAGAACTTTCCTTAAAATTATTCAGTACACATATATATATATATATGTATATATAATTTTTAAATTGTTTAGTAGCCACACTAAAAGAAATGAGGGGAAGGGAGTAAAACAGAACCTAGCAGTGGGTACTAATGGCTCATGCCTGTAATCCTAGTTATTTGAGAGGATCCCAGTTCAAAGCCAGCCTGGGCAAACTGCTCACAAGACCCATCTTCAAAATAACCAGAGGAAGTGGGGAGCCAATGGTTCATAAGACCCTATCCTGAAAAAACTCATCACAAAAAGGGCTGGTGGACAGACTCAAGTGGTAGGCCCTGAGGTCAAGCCCCAGTACTGCAAAAAAAAAAAAAAGGGAGAGAGGGAAAGAGAGCAAAATGGGCTGGGTGAGGTTGATTCAAGCAGTAGAGCACCTGCTTTGCAAGTTCGAAGCCCTGAGTTTACAACCCAGGACCTAGCATGCATAATGCCCTATGTTCGATCTCTAGCACAATGAAGAAAAGAAAGTTTGAGCCAGGCATGGTGGCATACACCTGTAATCCCAATACTTGGGAGGCCGTGGGAGGCCGAGGTAAAAGGGTCTTGAGTTCAAGGTCAGCCTGGGCTATAAAAGTGAGATCCTGTCTCAAGATGAAAAAAAAAAAAAAGAAAGAGAAACAAAATTAATTTCAATACTCAACATATTTATATAAAATATTATCATTTATCATTTGAACATTATTAATTTTTTTAATACTAAGTCTTTAAAATCTGGCATGTATTTGTGACTTAGGCACTTCTCAGTTTGTAACACCCATGTTTCAAGTGCTCAATAGCCACATGTGCCTGGTGGCCAATGTGTTCAACAGCTATCACCCATTAGTCAATAAAATTCATTTAAGTGAAACCTCGTATCTAGTACTCCCCAAGGATACAGCATTGGACAACACTTAATAATGAGAGACTAAATGGAATGGATGCAAGCCATCTTACTTACTGAATTTGTGCACCACCCACAATTTGGCCCTGCTTGTATACATTCTCCACATGATTTGGCGTTTGCTTTTAAACATCTATTTTTATCTGTTAGGAAAAACGAAAAAAGAGACCACTTCACTTGAACTTTCAGAGAAAAAAAATGAAAAAAATCAGTATCACAATGGCAAATGATACAATATTCATAAAAATTACATATGTTTAATCTTACCTAATTTCCAAGTTAAACCAGACCTACCATAAGGAAACACTGGTAATTTTGGATCACTGTGGCACTCAAAGTCATGACAGGACATGGTTATCTTGTCTTTAATAACAAAGACTAGGTACTATTAATCTACCTAAACATTTATCATTTTATTCAAAGGCATAATTTCAGAATCTAACATTTTGAATGGTCATAAATGTCATGAGTTTTCATACAACTTGGTAAAGCATTATTTTCATGGGATTCATGTACCATGCCCACACTGGTTTTTATTGGATTTTTATACATATTAAAGAAGTTAAGCTTTGTTTAGTTTTCCATCTTGTTTATAGTGTTCTGAAGTCAAATACTGGGTTGTTGCTAATTTTACATAATTTGAACTTATCAATAGGTTCTTCATGTTTCTTCCTTCACATTAACATATGGTAACCCCCACTCTGAGGTGAAATAATTCCAACTCAATGTACTTTTTGGGATATATAGAGAAGTGGGCACCATGACTCCACATATGGATGCACCATAGTTTACTGAAGATGAAACAGATCTTCAGCTTTACTCTCACAGCTCTTCTACATATGGCAACATTTTGCAAGACTTGTTTATGAAAGAGCAAGAACATCTTCTAAAAAGTCAACTGCCCCTGGTTTCTGTTTTTACACAGTAACAGTTCAAAATCCACCATTTTATACATTTACTTTAATTACTGAGTACACTGCATGCTTTTGCTTTCTCCCTGTTCACTTCACACTATCAGAAATCTTCATGTAGTCTATCGTTTTCCCATTTCACTACCCTCATTCTGGACGGCAAAGATAGCAGGAGCCTGATCATGAAGCCCCTTGTAGCCCCTTGGAAATACCCTGAATTACTCATGTACAAATACTCTACTCATGGTGAGACAGCACCATTATAGGGCTTTCAGAAGAAGCACCATGAGCTGACTTAGGTTTTCCTAGGAATCTGAGTAAAGACTGATACAAGATCCTGAAATACAAAGATAATGGAGAAAACATTTCCTTTTACCTGTGTGGCCAAATACATAGCAAACTGAACTGACCAGTCCAATCCACACAACCAGTTGTAAATTCATCTGAAATATAAAATGTACATCATTATATTAGGAAAATAAAGAGAATGCATTTGACAAAATATTCCATCCTCTTCATCTTCTGATTTTATAAACTTATACCTCTCAAAGCATTTCTCTCCAAACCTCCCATTACCTGCCTTTCTTCCCTAGTTTGTTACTTCACCTTTTTGTTACAGTACTCAAATGACTTGCACGCCAGATCCTCAGAATCCATTCTTGCCAGTCTCTAAATCAAAAGCTTTTACATTTAATAAAATGTTTAAAAATATGCTCAAAAAAAAAAAAAAAGGAATACGAATAGCAAGTATTCCCTATCACTTGAAAGCTAGGGACAGCCTCTGTCTCATGGAATCTTCATCTCCACGATCCCCTGGGCTCTCGGGGTCCCAAAGAGGCACATTCAGACGCTCAGTTACCTCATGCATGTCAGTCTGAGTGAACTTTTCATAAACTGACCCAGTCATTCCCTGTTTGCAACTCTTTAATAGTTTTTGTTTCTTCTCAGGCTAAACCAACATGCTGTACAAAGCTCCAACATAATTATATAGTTTGATCTTCTGCTATTTTTCTCTTGTAAGAAAATCAGCTATGAATAGAATTAGTAAAACATTCAGTTTTAATCCACACATTTTCCAGATCAACAAACTAGACCAAAACAACAAAAGGCAGAAAAACGATAGCTAAAGTAGAGCATATTCACAATTCCAGCTGTGAGGAAAGCCTGGGCAAAAATTAGAGATACTATCTGAAAAAGCAAGCCAGACATGTGGTCCCAGGAGGCAGAGGCAGGAAGGTGGCAAATGGAGATAATCTGGGCAAAAGCCTGAGACCCTATCTAAAAAACAAACTAAACAAGGAAAAGGATTAGAGGGCATGTCTCAAGCAAGTGGCACAGGCCCTGCGTTCAATACCCAGCACTACTACTAAGAAGTTTCTGAAAGAATCTTGGAGTCTCATATGTCTTTTAGAATCTCTACAGAAAAATTTAGGTAATAAGTATTCTGTATGTTAGACTACTTTAACCTCTAATCACTAGATATATTAACTGTTTTCTCTGAAACAGTTTTCACAGTTTCAAAATTCAACTCATACCTTACCAAATTTGTTCAAAAATGCTTATGAATACATGGTGCTAAACACTGCACTTAATTATTCACTGTCTTGGACCAGCACCCAACCTAATAGTTATGCAGAAGCACCTCCCCTTCCTACAAAAAGAAAAACAGAAAAGGCCAGGACATGATGGCCTGAGCCTATAATCCCAGCACTCAGAAGCCTGAAACAAGAGAATCACAGGTTTAGAGACAACAAAAAAAGAAAGAATACCACCTCCAAAGAGGTTTAACTTCAGCATTCATCAAAAACATATATATAGTATATATATAAAATATATACTATATACATAAAATATATACTATATATATACTTACATAACATACATAATATATATATATATTAAAGCAATAGAAGGTGAACTAGTGAGAGGGAAAAAAAGCTTTCCAACCTAACAAACCAAGGTGGCTGAGAAAAACCAACAGGTAGCTTTGTGCACTGGTCTAATTATTCTAAATAGTGTGACAGTCTGGGTAAAAATATAACTAAAAAATGTTTCTACCCTCTAACTTAGTAATTCAGTGCTGAGTATTTGTCTGAGGGTAAAGGAACAATTAAAAATATAAAAGGAAATAATTAAAAATACAAAAGGTAGCACACAGGCACACAATAAGTATGGTACTCTAGTATATGTACAATAGGAAAACAGCAAACATCTTCTGTATTAGGAAAATAGGGAACTCTAACCACATCAGCTTTATGGACCATTAGCCAGTCATAAAAATAATAAAATAGGCCAGCAGCCAGTGGCTCATACCTGTAATCCTAGCTACTCAGGAGGTAGAGATCAGGAGGATCATCATTCAAAGCCAGTCTAGGCAAACAGTTCATGAAACCCTGTCTTGAAAATACCTAACAAAAAAAAGGGTTGGCAAAGTAGCTCAAGTGGTAGAGAGCCTACCTAACAAGTGTGAGGCCTTGAGTACAAACACCAGTACCACCTCCCAAAAATAAATAAATAAATAAAAATAAAATGCAGCCCGCACATGTCTATGATCCCAACTCCTGGGAGGGAGGAGATAAGAGCACGGCAGTTGGAGGATGACATTGGAGGCCAGCTGGTACAAAAGTTAGGACAAGATCCTGTCACAAAAACAAGTGAAGTGTGGTAATCCCAGCTACTTGGGAGGCAGGGTAGAAAGAATCATGTCTGAGGCCTTCCCAGGTAAAAGTACAAGGCCCTATGTGAAATACAAACCAAAGGCAAAAGGGCTGGGGTGTGGCTCAAGTGGTAGAGTGCTTGCCTAGCTGGTGTGAGGCCCTGAGGTTCAATCTCCAGTACTGCCAACAAATAAATAAAGAGAAATATGCAGCAACATTAAAAAGTTTGTAGAATAATTCTGAACGCAAAGTATAAGTTAACGAGAGGAATGTAAGATAATAATATACAAACATAAAGTAATCAAACAGACCCAAGCAGATGAAAGAAACTTATATGCACAATATAAAGAAATAGGGGCTTTTAAACTCTTATTTTTTTTTTTTTTTGGTGGGACTGGGGTTTGAACTCAGGGCTTTGCACTTGCTAAGCAGACACTCTAAGCTTGAGTCACACCTCCAGTTCATTTTGCTCTGGTTATTTTGGAGATACAGTCTTGCACTGGCCTCAAATCACTATCCTCTCGATTGTAGTCTCCCAAGTAGCTAGAATTATAGGCATTCTTTCTGCTTCCTTAATGAAAACTATTATATCACAGTTTATTTTTAACTTGGTAAATTTCCTTTTGTAAGAAAAAAAGTTGATTGGATTCCATGTTAACACTTAAATTTTTCTTTTTAAAGACCTCCATCATCAAGGGTTTACACCCCAAGAAGCTATTCATTCGTGCAGCAGAGAGGGTGCTTTAAGGTCTGATCTGAGCACCCCTGGGATCCTGTGCTGCCTCTGCTCAATGCTGGCTTCCCAGAGACAAAAGCTAAGAATAACTTGCACAGTCATCTACTTCACAAATGGACTTATACCAGAAAATTCTCTACTGTCTTGAGCTTATGGTGAGCCTACAGCTCACTGTGACCTCATCCCAGTGACTGACAAAAGCTGAGCATCATGGAAGTATGAAATATTAACAATTCACTTTTCAGTGCCTGCCTAAAAGGTTTAATGGAGTTAATTAATCTATGGTCTGTTATTCTTAACAATTCGAATAATGTGTTTAATTCTGAAGCTGTGAGGTAGAGGGGGTGGTACATGAAACTCCTAAGGAGATCAATGCATCACTGTGATAAATGCAGCATCTGGGAAGTTTCACACAAAGTAAACTATGTTTGTCCCATATAAGGATTGATACGTGTCTGCCCAGGCTACTGTAATGAATACTGGACTGCCTTGAGAAATCTTTCAAAATATCACACAATTCAGAGAATCACATTAAGAAAAAGCTATTAGGAACAAAATGTTTCCCAATATCCTGAGGCTGCATGGTTGTGGACCATTAAGAGCAGTGTGACATTCTTCTTCTATGGATCTTAGCAAGCCAAACAACCCTCCAAAACCTTCTAAACCTCTGGAAGAGTACCAAGCCCAGAAGCAGGCAAAACATGGCTCCACTGTTAAAAGAACAGCTGAGAAAATAAGGACAGATGTCAACTCTTCTGCAAGAAACAGAAAGAGCTGTCACTGGCTAGCTATTAAGGTCAGGTTTCAACAAAATGAAAAAGCAACAGAAGGTGAGCACAAATCAGAATAAAGATCTGTAGCGACAATGAAGCTGACAGTAATTAAGAATAAAGCAACTATGGGGATGGGAGGCACAGATGCAAGTGGTCATAAAAGCAGCAAGCAGCAGATGGTGAAGAAGTGGTAAGAGAGACACCGGCTGCCCCAGTCAGTCACTCCTGACAGTCTCTGGAAGATACCAGAGCCCCGCTCACTCATGTGTGTGTGTGCTTATGTGTGTAGTGAAAGGTGCCCAAAGTCCTGCATCTTACAACCTCCTCAGGCAACACTTCTCAGTGTGGCCTCAGGTTTGCCCAGAGGTCCTCCTGACCCTAACAACCACAACCTTAACATGACAGGACCTATTCTCAGATGGTTCCCATGCTGAGAAAAGGGGCTAAAAATTGCCTATTCATGGCATTCCACATAAGATAACCCATTAGGAGGGAACAACAGGGGAAAATGCCATTCAGACACTATCCTAATCCTATCTGTGACTCATTTTCATAGCCAGAGGTCTAGAACAAGTTGTCATACTGGTATTCATTTGCTAACCACCTCCTCTCTCCTCGCCTAGTGCAGTTAATGGATACTCCCTACATGATGTGAACTGATACTGCAAAAGAACTCTTTCTGCACCTATCTTACTATCTGCTTTCACTCGTTCATTTGACTATAATAGGCACTTGAGGAAATTCTTTGTTTACCACCAAAGCTTTTACACACAGCACTTAATGCAATCCACACTTCTTTCTTAACACGTCTCTTCCCTTGAATCCTACTGGTTCCCTCTCTATGCCTCTGGGGGTCCTCTCTCAGACAGTTATGTCAGCTTTTGTGCCGTATCAGGAAATACAAACATTGCTGCCTCAAGCAACTTTCAGTTCAGTCCAAAGATAAAAAATACATTTGCAATATGATGTAATCATTCCTATAATGAAGGCTGGACACAGTGCAAAGAGGACACATTAATCTGACTAGGAAAATTCAGAGGCTTCATGGAGATGGCAGGCTTTCAACAAGAATAGAAGACACATAGGAGATGGACAGGAAGATAAGAGAAGCTGTTCCAGGCCAAGGTCTCCTTGAGAGAACTAATACTGACTTCTTTCTAATTCTATGTCTAATACATATGTCTGGGTGCCTCCTCCGCCCTCGAGTTGGAATTCTTGGTTTCATGTTTTCTCTCTACAGAAAAAGTCTTGAAAAAATGTATTTGTATGTTTTGTAG